GAGTAGCTGGGGAGTGGGAAGATGAGAACTGATGAGTGGGTAGTAGGCATACATCGCAGCCCCGCGGCACTGGCTGCGACGTTGATGGCCAGGGAAGGTCTTCAGGCGCAGGAAGCCATTGAACAGATTTTGTGGCGCCGACCTTCCTTGCGCCCATGGAAAAATCGAGACTATATTCTATGGGCACTGAAGCATTGGGAGACTTTGCTGTCCAAGCACGCTCACGCGGCTTTGAGTCTCTGAGAGGCTCGGGACATGGACGCCGCTCTGCGAAAATGTATCACCGCGACGGCATGGACGCTGTTCTGCAGAAGTGTCGTCGCGCGGACTAGACGGCGCAGGCAAACAAAAATAGGCGCGGCGCCGCCGTGAGCTTCAGCCTCTAATCTCAGCAAATAGTTTAGCATAGGAGATATCTTCTTGGTTTCTCCCCAAAGCTCTTGTTTTTTTCCGGCCAGGTATACTCTTCTACCAGGAGGCGAGGACGGGCGAGGGCAGAAGACGAAGACAAATTCATCGGCGCGGTGCCACACTGAGCTTCATGAAACAGCCTAGCACAAGAGACATCTGAGAGGTTTCTCGCCAACTCTCTTGTTTTTCTCGCCAGGTGTGCTCTTCGACAAGAAGGCGAGGACGGGCGAGGGCCGAAGACGAATACCACAGTACACACGATTGTACGCTGCGTCAGTGCTACTTGGAAACTGGGTTCCGGTGCTTCGCAGCCAGTCACTTGTAAGCACACCTCGTCGTCATTCCTCTCACCACGCCGCCGTGCCATGACTGCCCTGCGCCCAGTGGCTTGGGAAGCGTGGGTGGCGGTTTGGTTGCGCCTACATCCGCGCGAGGACCATCGCGGAGTGCCACGCGAGGAGCGCCAGCGATCTTTTCCCAAGAGGGCGGCGTTTGCGCTGGTCACTGCGGCTGAAAACTTACCCGGACGAGACCTCGGAGCCCAACCTTGCGAACTTTGCGGGCAGTGGACGCATTCCTGGTGCGAGGCTTGTTCGCTGCGGCCGTGCAACGCCGTTTGTACCCAGTGCGATGCCGATCACCTTATCTGTCGACCATGCCAGCGTCTTGGGCGGTCGTGGGAAGCGGCCCGCGCTGCTAATACCACGCCGCCCGATTGCATCGAACTCAGCGGCTACCACGACCAGACTGGCAGGTTTGTTCAGGTGGACCCCCCGCTCCGCATCCCACTGGCGGACGTGTCACCAGATGGCACCCTCGACGCCGCCCAGTTGGCCCAGATGGTCGCCGCCGTGTCTCCGGAGCGGACAACGCAGTGAGAGTCTCCCCGACGCAGAGTGTCACCTAGATGTTCACATGGTAACTGCATGTCTCATACCACGAATTCTTCCTTACAAATCCTGTGTGGACGTCGTTTTGCGGAAGCACGACAAGTATATAGACATAGTGTCGGGGAGTCTCTGCCCTATACAAGGGCTAGTCGCGAGCTGAACGACCAGAGCAGGCGCAGTGCCTGCTATGTGTCACCTCGTGCTACTTTGTTGCATGTTTCTGTAGGAGAGGCGATTGGAAAATGACCAGCATAGTGGTTCTCAACTACATCTAGAGCGAAGCACATGTCACCCTCAGAGCGCCTGTGCCAACAGACTGTGCGTTTTCCGTGACTGACCTTTCGGGGCTCACAGTGACATTGCAGAAGTCTCCATACAACTTGGGCCAACTACCACAATATCAACTCAACAGCAATGAAGAATATACTAGCAAGAAGTTTGAACGCGCCCCACAAGCTTTTGCAATATTCATTTCCCACATAAACCTTTACCAGGCAAACCGAGCCTTCTTATGGCTATGCATGCGCTATTTACTACTTGACAGCCCACTAGCTCGTAGGTCTCCCTCTTTGCCCAGCCATCATGCCAGGGAACCTTGGCATTGTTGACGACCACTTCTTGTATACCAACCTGGATAACCAGAGACAGGTGTGCCTCTGTTGGTCCTATGGAAGCAGGACATACCATGACGACCAGCCAGAGCTCAGCCATGAAAGATGGCCAAACCAGTCCATAGCAACCAGATGCTGGGTTGCCCATGGAGAAACCTGGCAGTTTTGGCGAGTGGTCCAGTGGTCCAGTGGATGGGAAGACTGGGTTAGGAACAACAGCCGCAACTTCACAGATGCCTACACCATCCAGATCTGCTTCGGGTGGACGCGCTAGACCCAACCAACTGTGTGTCTCATGCCGTGACTTCTTCCTGATAAATTCTGTGTGGACGTCGTTCTGCGGAAGCACAACGCTATCCTTGCCGTGTACAAAGACTAGTCGCGAGCCGAACAACGAGAGTGCGCTAAAACATCTACAGTGCCTGCTGTGTGTCACTTCACGCTACTTTGTCGCGTTTTTTCTCTGAGGCAGTCAATTACTCAATGACAAGCATAGTGGTTGGTTAACTACATCCTAGAAAAGCTGTGTCCTGGAGTGAAGTAAATGTTTTTACCCGGAAGATATATATCGATGGATGCCTTTCCTCTGACAGGTCACTGCTTCGAGACGCTTCTGGCGTGGCTGCCTCAGCATTTTCTGTGTTCATTCCAGCTCGGTTTTTTCAGTGAGATTCCCTGCAGCCGTGCACGCTGCTTCTCCCCTTACCAGCAGCTCACACGCTCATGACGATGAGCTGGGCTGTCACCGCTTGGCCGCCGGTGGGGGTTTGGGAGGCCTGCGCGCTACTTCGTTCATCTCCTCTGACAGGTCACTGCTTCGAGACA